ATGAGGGGGTCAAAACTGACCTCGACTCACCGGCACCTTATGTGAGCTATAAATCGAAAAAAATGTCCACGTCGGAACCTCTTCATAACTCCTGTGGTCGTAGACCGACACTCGGGCGAATTAATTAAGCATTCAAATAAATTCTCAATGTTCTTCATTCAAATTCTCTATGTTTTCGAAAGCCTATATATATATATATATATACTATATATACAATATATATATATATATATATATATATATATATATATATATATATATATATATATATATATATATATTTATTTATTTATTTATTTATACTATATATATATATATATATATATATATATATATATATATATATATATATATATATATATATATATATATATATATATATATATATATATAAACATATATATTTGTATATATGAAAGTATATATGTGTATGTCTATTTTAAATTTCTACACATTTCATCCGATCCCCGTGCAACTCTGAGAGGTTGTTTTTGAGAATTTTCTTGGGAAGTGTTTCAGTGGCGAAAAACATTACGTTTCGTAGGGGCGGTGCCCCTCCAAGACGTGAATCGATCCTTCTCTATATACGGTATATAAAAATAAAAGAAGATTGCAATTTGACACTGTTCGTTTGATCGCCGATACCGTGATTCCGTTTTTTTTAACAATGTTTCATTGTCATTTCAGAGATATATGTACCTAAAATAACTATTTTTCCGTATTGTTCAAAGATACCGGTCTATTATTACAAATGGACGATTAGTGTTTGATGCTAACTTGCCATTTGTACATTCATCGTAGCCATTTAAAAACAAACTCGTTTTTTCACAAATCATTTTCTAGAGCACCCATTAAATTCGATAAATAAAATTGGTATAAAATGAAAGGTAAATAAATGTTGTTATTAATTAAGTCATCTTAAACAATAATAAAGTTTAAAATCTTAGGCGACACCCTAACTCAAAGCTTTCATACAGCACGGCTTTCTGTGCGGTAGTGTGGGTAAACCCGTTCTCCGATAAATTTAATCGAAGCCGCAGGCATTGTTTACATTTAAATAACATCTTTTTGAAAACAAGGTCACATGTCTAAGACTATAGGATTGATAACGCAATGATGAAGCCCTCCGAATATGTTTCGTCAGATTTTTCCTAACCCTGCGGCAACGCGCGGGGATGGGCACGCTAGTATATAATAAAATGTGTTTGATGCGTTAAAAAATAAAATAAAAACATAAATATGAGTAACGATGCTAATGTATATATATATATATATATATATATATATATATATATATAGATATATATATATATATATATATATATATATATAATAGTTAAAAATTGTTGACAAGCCTAAAACTCATGTGAAACTTTAAATTATAATATTTAGATTTAAAAATAGGTGAGTAAATTACGTATATACTTAGTCCTAACAGAGACAAAAAGCAAAATATATTACAAGCACAATAGCTTGGTCATTGGTCCACTTGGAAGACATTTAGTAGAACACTCTTTAATAGTAGGATCAACTGCAATGTAAATATGGCAACGACAGCAGGTCTTTAATTTTAAAAAAAGTCATAAAAGAAATAATATTTAAATATACACAAAAATAGTTTCTATTGAACAGCAACTTACAGGTTTCGCTTCTGTTGTGGTAAGGATCTGAAAAAATAATTAAAAATTTTTAAAAATATTTTTTTTTTCAAATTTATTTAATCATTAGCATTGCAATTAGCATGTTTTTATTTGAAATAAGTAAAGTTGTGCGCCCACTTCCACGCCCATGCTAATGCTCGTTCCCATGTCTACGGGCATTCGCTTACTAAGCCTGTGTTTATAACTAACTTTATTTTTACTAGGTTCATAGTTGTTTTTTTTTATCTCTTTTTCTATGTCTATCAATGTCTATGTGTAGGGGGTCGGCGTAGTCGGGTAGGTAAAGCACATAGTTGCCTAACTGAAAATCCCGAGTTTGAATCACGGGCATATGAGGCTCAAAATTAAACAACTGTTGCCTTGTAGTTTGTTCTTGGATAGATGAATGTTATAGAAGGAAATTAAAAAGTAATGCAGGCTGAAATAGGAATCAGGGGCCACTTAGGCGCTTAATGAATAAATAAGTTATAACTAAGTGTATTAAAGGAAATCCCGTCCAACATTACAATTATAAATGTAGAACAGGGACGTGTATTTATCTGTTTAAGTTTATGTCTGTTACATGCATACATAAACCTTTAAAACTCAATATATAAATATCCAGCTATGCATATGGTTGTGGATGTTGATTTTGGTGTGGGTGTGGGCACGAATACCTATACTTGTATGTTTAAGTATTTGGAAATGTTAACATAGCCATTTAGTTGAAAGGAAAACGATTTTGTTTAAAGCAAGTCAATTCACACTTACTATTTATCGCATCGCTCTGACTGCTGATTGAATCTGTACAATAAAATATAAAACATCAATTGTGTCATCGTTTAAATATACGACTAGGTTCATGTTCTAGTGTGTATGTTACTTTAATTTTCCACTGTTTAAGGTTTTTTATTATAGCATAAATATTAGTTGTATGTAACATTATGTTTAGTGTAATGGATAATGTAATGATGTAAGCGTAGGTTGTTATCTAATCTTAATTTTAAAATGTTTAGTGCAATATGACAAATTTATGCGGCAAACATTTCTCACAATTATTATATAGGCTCATAAACAATATTAAACATAATAAATATGATAGTCAATAAAAAAGTTCAGATAAACTGAAACCATCCAATAAACTAATACAATTTTGCTGTGATGTATTTTGTCTGAGATATTTTGTCTGAGATCATTTGTCAATGGTATCATTTGTCCTGATATATTTTGTCCTGGTATCTTTTGTCCGTGAGATCATTTGTCCTTGAGATCATTTGTCCTGAGATCATTTGTCCTGAGATCATTTGTCTGTGAGATATTTGGTCTGAGATATTTTGTCTGAGATCATTGTCGTGGGATCATTTGTCATGGAACCATAAAACTACTCTAGATAGTGCTCAGATGAAAACCAAAAACGAAATGGTTTTCAGCTTATCACTTATTGTTAATTTATATGTTAAGAGAAAATAAATCTCACATAAACACAAATGACAATAAAAAATAACAAACGAATTAATTATTAAAAAGTAAAACAATAAACTTAATCTGGTGTAATCTAACTAATGCAATATGCTGGTATGACTAAAAATAAAAAAGAAAATTATGAAAATTGAATATAGATCCTATATTATTTTATAGAACGAAAACCAATCAATTAAATTCATATAAAATATATATAAAATATATATTCTCCATAAGTAAGCGCCTAAACTTTATTAAATTAATGCATCAATATTATTGTATACTCATTCAATATCTACCACTGTGACGAATTTCAGCTCAATCGGAAAATAGGTAGGAAAAGTCTATGTAATCATACACAATTTTTGAAAAAATCTTTTTAAAAATATGGCAAGCGATAAAATTATAGTTACTTTTGTAAAAATTAAAGCCATTTTGCAGCCATCGATTACACTCATTTTTATATTTTTGTATTATCGAATATAAGCCGTTGAAAAGCTGTTTAGACTTATTTTATTAATTCATATATTGTCCAAAACTGCCTTCAACCTCTCCTTAACGTCTACCGGAATGGCCAGGTAGAGTAAAAAGATAAAAGTCAGAAACAATTGTTCTCCATGATAAAAGTACACAATAGTGATCTATGTTGTATAGCATAGTATTGTATGTATATTAAGTAATATTACATCCCCAATCACCACAACACCCTGACTCTACTAATCCAAATTAAAAATAGAAGTGTTTGCTAAATTACTACAATATTGTTAGTAATTATTTCTTTGACTATTTCTAGCTTGATGAAACCGGAAGTAATTTTGTACTTATTACACAAATGTTATAAAATATTCAATTTTGGTTGAAGAATTTGCTTTTTGGCAAAACAAATTTGAAACCCTTTGAACCAACTTTTCATGTCTATTGGAAGTGGGTTAACGAAATAAAAGCCTTTAAAAATTAATGAACTAATTAAACCATTAGTACGTTTGAACTTATTAAGCAATAGTATTATCTTTAGCTTACGTTAGGAGTCGTAAAAGGATAGATATTGAGAGACAATTAAGAGCTGAACGTCGTAGCCGAGCTTTAACGAACTTGTACAAATGTTAATTCAGCGCTGGATTAATGACATTCAGCGAATGTTAAAAAAAAAAGTGCGACGAGATCGCTACACAACGCTTCTTCGAGTCATAAAGTATGTTCGGCCGGACACTGTTAAAAGCATATATTTTCTATATAAATTTACATTTCGTTCGGGGAAGTGATGTCTGGAAGAAACACAGAGCATAGCCTGTTGACACGTATACTTAATTGTGTTGGAGTGTGCGGCGTCAAAATGGCCAACGACAAAACGGCCCCGTCAAAACGACCCCGACAAATCGGCCCCGACATAACATTTAATAAAGAAAATGTATAAAAATAAGCTGTTATATGCACTGAAAATAAGAATATAAAGTAAATTAGCCTTTAGTATTCTTTGTATATATGTTTACTAAACTTATATTTTAAATGACAACAAAACTTATTAACAATGGCGTGAAAAAAATGAAACAAATTGCTTTTGCGTTTTAAAAAAAAAAATTTTTTTTAAATTACCGAAACTTTTATTTGGAATATTTGAAATAAGTCCAATGTTAAGTCCTGCAAAAACTACACAATCAAATATATATATAACCTATGTTTCGCCTCCCACAATTTTAAATATAAGTGAAAACATCTGGACAGTATCTCCATTGCTAAAAAAACTGTAAATTAGACTGATTTTTTTTAAAATTTTAGCTAGATCTATAAAATAACTTCTTATAAACGATTAATACTATGCCGATAGGTAATGTCTATGGAACGATTCAGTTTGTTAACTGGAGAACTATTGTTTATGAAATTTCAAACTAGCGATACAAAAGTCACATTTAAAAAATGAAGATGCGAAAAGCATTTTGGAATAACTTGAAAGTGGATAAGGGATCTACTACATTACGCTATCTTACCGGGTAGAAAACTACCGATGATAAGCACAATACAAGCGTAAGAGACGATCATTTTTGTTTGCCTTAATGACTATCAAGAATAAAGAAAACGGCTACATCGTAACTGTAAAGAAATGGAACTAATGTTGATCAACATTGCAATGTTACAAAAGATGGCAATATAGTTTCGGGTTCATGTTGTACAGGAAATAGAGTGCATATTCGTGCACACCTAAAATCAATGGTTTGAAAAAACAAAACATTTCGTACTAGAATCTAGATCTATTATAGAATTATTTTTCTTGACTCCATCACAATTTCGCTCTGTATAGTAGATCTATGTTTATTTATATGTTTACCAAAGAACGATTAGTTCTTTGTTCTTTTCATTCACATTCATACATATTATTCACTATTTGGGTTCCTTACAGAGTTTCTTCCAGGCATCTCTTCGGAGGGCCCCCGAAAAATTATTACCGCCCCCCCCCCCCCCCCCCCCGAACGAAATGAAATTTTTTATAATTTATATAGAAAATATATACTTTTAACAGTGTCCGCCCCCCCCCCCCCGAAGAAAGTTTACCGCCCCCCCCCCCCCCCCCCCGAAGATTTCAAGTGCCCCCCCCCCCCCCCGGAGAAAAAAGTCTGGAAGAAACACTGGTTCCTTATTCCGACATAAACAATGGCATCCTGCTATTGGATAGGCCGCCATAAATTTTATTGTACACATTGTAAGCTAAAAATAGAAAACTAGGTCATGGGGTTGTAAATTTGCATTGTTATTTAAAAACTTTATCTGCAAAGTTTTGTAAACAAATATTTATCAAAGTTACTGTACAGCCAATCAATATTTGTCTTACGAAAGTGAAACATCCGGTTATAACTTAGGCTTGATGAAAATAAATAGAAATGAAGCCTTAAACTCAACAAATTATTTTCAAGTTCTCTGGATTTGCAACTTTTATAGCATTTATTCTAAAAATATAAAATTTCTAAATTAATTTTAGGCTTAAGTTTTTATTTTTTTATATTTTTTTTTACGGTCTAAATCTAAAAAGCACGTTTTTATTCCATGTCAACAACATTATGGAAGGAATCTCGTCAACTCGCTGGTGTCCATTACTATGACAGTGAAGGAATTCCGGTTAAAATGGGGTTGCCATTCTTTATATGAGTTCTTCAGCGAATTCCATTTGTATTTTTACTCTCTTGTATACGAAGTATAAAGGAAGTACTGTAATCATGCAAAACAATCGAAATCGATTTTCACAAATCTCGACGTTTTACACCTCCCTGAGTCGGAAAAACACAGTTTTGCAATTTCGTCTGTATGTCTGTGTATGTACGTGTGTACGTGCGTGTGTCTGTGAACACGATAACTTGAGTACAGTTACAGTTAGGTTTACGAACTTTCATATATAAGTATTATATCAATTTTTTAGTTATGTTTAAACTTTTCAGCGATTTCCAGTAAACGGAAGTGGAATTTAGTCAACTTTTGATTTTTCAAACGCCTATAACTTGAGTACTGTTTCATATAGATAAACGACATTTCAATATAAGTAAAAAGATCTAGTTCTCTGCCTTCTGTTAATTTTGAGTAATTTCCGTTGGTCGGAAGTAGTACTTTATGCTATTTCCGATTTCTCAAAAAATGCATATGAATGTATAAAGAACTAATAATATTCCGCACTATAATACACTATTGTTTGGCGTTCACTTGGTGCACAATTCTTTTTTCTACGAGATTCTATTTATTTTTAAAAATTGAAGTATTTAAAAATGGATTAAAATATCATGTCTTTATCCCGAGTTGTCATCCCCCGTAGAATATTCGAGAAAGTTTAGGGAGATCACTCCCGTTTCATTTTTTTTTTTTTTTTTGCACGATTAGGCCTACAATACTTTCTCTATATTTCGTATACGTGAAAGTAAAAAAAAGCAATAACTTAGAGCCATTCGCGTGCTTTGAGATTTCCATTTGTCAACTTTCTGCGTTGGAAAATTAAAACATTAAAAAATTAAAATATTATTAGTACTTTATAAATTTACATGCGTCTTTTGAGAAATCAAAAATAGCGTAAATTACTACTTCCGGTCAACGGAAATTACTCAAAATTTGACAGAAGGTAGAGAATTAGATCTTTTACTTACACGTGAAATTTCATTTATCTATCTGAAATAGTACTCAAATTATATGCTTTTGAAAATTCAAAGTAGAAAATGTACCACTTCCGGTTATCAGAAATCGCTCAAAAGTTGATACGGATCTACGATTTTGATAAAATACTTATATTATGTTTTTCCGTATCAGTGAGGTGTAAAACGTCGAGGTTTGTAAAAATCTCGATTTCTTTTTTTTTTTTGCACGATTACAAGA